ACAAATTTAAAATGTTAATGAATAACTCACAACAGAATGTTATAAAGAAATTATCTCAATTTATTTACTATGCAACTTTAGCTAGAGAAACAACTGGTAGCTAATTCCAACTAATCTCAAACATTAATTATTATAATAGTCTTTATATTTATTTCATGACTGTGATATTTTATATGTTATATTACTTTTGTCGTATTTAGATGTTTTATGCATTAGTTAACATGTTTATATGTATGTACACGCCATATTGTTTATGGCAATAGACATTATGTTTGTGCCTTAATAAAATCTTGAAAATCTTGAATCTTGGTAACATTTTTAATAAAATCATTTAACTTTCAATATATTTGATATATTTAATTTTCAATATTACTTTATTCATAATTGAAGGGAAAAGTTAGCGTTCTGGGGCTTTAAGACAAACCCCACTTTTCTCGTTTATTAAATGCTAAAAAGCTAGAAGATGCATTACAATCTTGCTTTGAGCGAATTTAAATAAAAGGACATACCAATAATATGATTAAACATTGTAACAACAATACAAAGGTAAGTTAAATCCGTATTTTGGTATACATGTGTAACAGGAACCCATGAACGAACTGCCCACCACTAAATAACAATTAGAAAATATAATAATAAAAGATAAGAAACTAAAATAGATACAACAGGACATTCATACTCCTGCTAAACTGAGCGCTAAATACCCTATCCTCAGTGTACCATCCCCGATGCCACATCCCCTGTGCAATATCCCTTCTGCCACATCTTCTGTGCCGCATACCCTATGCCACCTTCCCTGTGCTGAATCCACAATGCCACATTCCCCGCGACCCATTCCCAGTGTCATATAAACACACTTGTTTATCAAATACAAATATGATTATTTGATTCATCAACAAACACAGTCAAAATAGTTTTATCTTTCCATATGCTAACACAATAATTATTACAGTAGTCACAACTCCTCTAAGAGGCTTGCATCTAACCTCATAAGTAGCTTATAACATTCAATACTGCCCATTGCCAGCTTGCAAGATCAAGTCATCAAAATTCAAAAGAAACATAAGAGCTTTACATAATCCTTATTCTAAACATTTCAATTTACATACAAAATAAAGATTTCAATTAATATGCAATTTAGTACTTCAAAGACTAAAGCTTGTAGCCAATATGCAAAGCTCATCCAACACTTATTTCTTTAAGTGTGCAAAAGTATTTTATGAAAAATTCCTTCAAACGCCTAGTACCTTCAAGATTAAAATATTAACCATCATCTTTAATGGCATAATACTCAGAACAGGGAATGCCGCATCTAAGAAAACGCCTGGAAATTCTAATGAAAGAAAAATTTCTTATTTGCATTTTAATACCAATTTATTATTTACATTTTTAACCCTGTTGCCTATTTGTATCAAAATAAATAGGACAAGGAATAATTACATGATGCAATTATGTTACCAGAAGATAAAAGACGAATCATTATTTAGCTGAAATAATCTTATCTCCTGAGCAAGGGCCATTAACATCATTGGAACTAACATGTAATATGATTAAAGCAGATCTAAGATCGAATTGAACTTGAGAAATTGTAAAACTAAGCCGTGAAATATTAATCCATGGAAAAGTTGTTGTTTGAGTATTCCAAAAACCTAAAAAGAATTTGGCTAAGTAGTCTGAGACTATTTGTACACTTGCGAAGTGGTGGAAGAGTTACATGCTCTGAAAACGTACAAAAAGAACAGTTTACAAATGAGTACATCAAACATAAAAACATGAGAAATATCTTATTAATAAATGATTTTACATTCATCTTCAAGGAAAAGTGAAATGTAACGTTTATAAACGTCAGAATGCCAATCTACAAGAATCTGAATTCTATCTGAATTGATATTATTCCTAAAAGCAAGGATAGCAAAACTACGACTGAATGAATCAGAAGAATACAATGATGAATCAAAACCAATATTATATTGAAATAAGTACTAAGTTACTCCATAAGGTAAGAGAATAAAATATATGATCGTGTACTAGGAATGATTATTACCATGTTATCAGAGGTAGTAACTGGACATATACAAGAGCCAGACTGGTAACTCTAATAAAAGAGTCTGTAAAAGTGGTTCTTCAAACTGAATAGTTTGAGTCTAAATCACAGAAACTGTTAAATTACCATAAAAATAGGTAACGTCACACCTAATTAAGCATTTATGAATGATTAAATGGGAGTTGCAACCAAATTTAATTTGCTTGCTAATAGAAAACAAAAATGAAAATAAAAACACCAACAAAATTACTTTTCAGGGTTTTTAAAATTTATAGCCAAATAAATATTGGAAAGTTTAAAAGGAGTTAAGGTTTATCACAATGACATTACAGCTGGGAAATTCCAGGAAGAGTGATATATATCATAAAAGTATTCATTTCATTTAAATTATATCGAAGTAACTGATGAATAGTTCTAACACTACTGAAGAAGTTGGAAACGATAGACATAGCTTTAATAAATGACTGAGAATATCATTGAATTGTCTCAGTTGGTGCAGATAAATAGCATACATTGAAATACATTGAATTTCTATTTTTTTTCTACTATTTCAAGCATCGGGTGAAATATTAGACAGTTTCAAAGATCTGCAATATAAACGAGAAGACATAAAGTTTCCAATCATTGGCAAAAACAAAACAACTCACAATGATCTATTTTAATTAGAAAAAAAAATCATTCTGAAATTTTGATACTAATGAGACACACAATCAGATTAATCGGTTCTCCATATTAGGTAAATGAATAGCTCTTATTTCACTTTGAGCTTTGGTCGTTCAAACAAATTACTCTCAAACCATCTTATTAAATAGAACATCAATCTGACCTTACCAGAATTCAAAACTGTACAAACATCTTCACTATAACAATTGACAATTATTTTCTATTCTTTGAAGTCAGTAGACTAAATTCTTAAAGCAAGAATAGTACTAAATTTCTCAAAAACAGCTATTGAATAATTATGATTGGAAATTGGATTCAAAATATTTCCAATTAAAAGACTACCGTAACCTGTAAGACAAGCATCCTTTGAAATAAAGGCCTTTTTAGTTAAAAATAAACAACAATTGAAACGAGAAAGGAAACAGGTGGGCTTGAGTCATCTTTATAATCTGGACAGAGTATTTGTGGGAATTTTCTCAATATATTATGTACAACAGGTACACTATGTTTGGTGAAAATTTACAGAAGTAAAAGGTTATGGAAATAGATATGTGAAAACTTGTATATATGAACCCAACGTGAAATAAATAAACGCAGCTTTGTACACAAAGACTTTGGTAACTATTCATATATATTGATTGATTAGGTCTGTATTGTCATCTCTATATATTCACAGTTGGAATCATTATCCATTTTGATTTTTTTATCTCCATGTATGTCCCTCTAAGCGTACGTTGCTCATCAATCCGTTCATACCTATTATCTGCATCATTGTCATTATGCCCAAAAATGATCTGACATTCACTGATAACCTCTAGAACTTTACGTTTTAAGAACAATAAAAAACAATATTTATATCGAGACAGAGTTACTGCATTGTTGCATTGAAAATCACGTCCCGCTATGATTTGTAAAGTAAGCAAGCGTGAATACATTTTGAATAATTACACTTACTTTATCCTTAATATACCCTTGTATGTGTATAATGATAAAGTATTAAGCTAATGTAAGATGAAGCTTGATACAGTGAATATGGCAAAACATACTAGTATTTAAAAATCTTCAGAACTTTTATTCACGAAAGGATATTCTGTTAATGGCAAAATAGTTCCCTTTTTTAAAAACAAACAAACAATCTTTTTATCATTACTAAGGTAACTTTTTATGATATTTCTGAACGTAAGATTATCTTGTTTCATTGTGTCTAATAGTAGAAGTACGGGTTAAAGCATGGTTTTAAACTGCATACCAGCTGTCTTTCTGTCATTTACGTCTAAATTGAAAGATGAGTAGTAATATAAAAAAAATAGTTAAATTGCTGCAGATATATGTTATCCAAAAAAAGACTCGAATGTTCATTATATTAAAGAGGAATACCATTGGATTATTTTTTAATGTTACCAATATTTCAAACGAGGTAAAATAGCCTGAATTTCATTATTATATGCGGATTATGAAACAGCCACGAAACAGCGATTTATTTTGGTATTAATTTGGGGATGGGATCTGTTTTTGTTATTAATGTTTTGTTTTTGTTTTGTGCTTTTTTTAGGTTTTAGGATGAGGTTTAGACTCCGCAAAACATTGAAAGTCACCTCTTCATTTTTATTTAGAATCAATCTTTCTCCTGCCTACGTTCCAAAGTTGACACAAAGTTTTATTTCGTCTGGTGTACTGTTTTTTAAAATATTGGCTTTTACATTATGCAAAGACAGGCAATTTAAGAATGTAAAACCCAACAAAAATTTCCATGCCTAAGAAAGTATCTAAATTCACTATTAGTACTTTAACAATTAGACAAAAGCAATAATGAATCAAATCTTGGCATTGAGCAAAAAGAAAATAAATACAACTAAATAAATGTAACTTTCGAAATATATAGAACAAATACGTATATGCCACGTTCAGTACAAATTTTTTACTTGAAATATCTGTTATTGTCAGTTGTGTCCATACTGCGCAATATAAATGCTAGCGGTCTAGTGTCCTGTTCGGAAGAAATTGAAGACTACTTTCAGCTGCTGTCAATCCGTTTTCTTTTAGAATATATTATTGTGTCGATGGTGTGTCATATCGCTGTTTATATTGTTGATGGTATTAAGTAAGTACCATATAACTAATGGTTTTGTGCAAATAACAGTAAATGTTTTCATTTGAATTAAAGCCTTATTCTGAAATTACCATATATGCTCAAAAATCTTATACGGATCCGAAGGGAAAGCTATACAATGGAAGGTATAATGAATATCATGCCTTAAACCCTTCCCAAACACCTCGTTAAAGTTCTATAGTTTAACATTTGATAGATTTGTGATTAATACTTTATGTTGAATTTGAAAATTATTTTTATCCTGATTTGGTCAGTTTTAGATTATGCTGTTATCATTGGTAGCCGAAACATACCCTTTACACCTCCTTACTACTTTGTTTAAATTTTAGCCCTAATTTTTCATTCAATACACCTATAATCAGGGGTTATTGGTAAATCTCTCACTTGTTATCAATACAAGAATTTTAAAGTATAACAGGTGTAACCCTATAAATCAAGTATTAAGGTTTATAAAGTGGAGAAAAAGTGGCCTTGAGACATTAAGATTTGTTTCAGCTGTTGTTGTTCTACCGTCTGTTGAGGTCTTGTCGGGATAACATGAATATATATTACTACAAAAATCTAAGTATCTATTCATTGTTTTATGCATGTTCTGTTTTCATCGGAAATTTGGAACCTCAATTTAACTTCCTTGAAACCTAATATAACTTCCTTGATATTTGTTACACATCCATTGTTCTATTCATGAATAGGAAATTAAATGACTTTTGAACAAAGGTTGCGTCCGAGATGCTGATTGATTGTATTTGTATGTATCAGTAGATAAACATTTGCAGCAGAGATGAACAATAACAGTCAATCTTGATGTCTTTAATCACCTTATTTAAAACATATTAAAGGAACTGATTATGACACAAGTGAGTAAATAAACATTTGTAGTATATTCTTATGTATCATTGTCTGTTTGGGCTTATGAACGCAACAAATTACTATGAAAGTTCTGTTTTATAATTAATGACTTTCAAAAAAGACTTGTCAAGTTCTATCTACAGATTGTTTAAAATCAGTCTGTTTTGCAGCTACTTATATTATAAAACCATTATTGTGACATGAATGATGTCATGGTGACGTTAAAAGTAATTTTGTATTATTGTCGTTATATATTGTTTACAGTAATGTTACGATTTATTCATTTTCTTACTATTTTGACAATGACAGGTTGTATAATATGATGTGGCGAGCATTGTTACTTGTTTTGGCCGCTAATTGTAAGTTTTATTTATTTATATTTAAGACTTGTGAACATTACACTTACGAAAGACATTATCGAATTTGAATGAAGAATTATTATCGTAAATGTTTAAAACAAAACTTATGATAACAATTTTAATTTAAGATAGTTATTACATTATTTTATTTTCTCTTTTGCATGTCTTTTATCCTACATTTCTACTCGCAATAAGTAGCCATGCACTTGCAATTTCTATGAGAATAATATTTATATTCAATATATTATAACACAAGATCAAAAAGATTGATTTAATTGGCGAGTACACAGATAACAATAAAAGAAACTTTAAATATGGCCTTTTGATAATTTTATCTTCTACTTCGCAAAAACAAATAAAAATAAATATATAATAAAACAATAAATGAAAAAATGAATAAAAACGTTCAATTTATAATTAGAGTGGGATAGTCTTTTTATATTTTAGGCAGTTTTTACATTTTATCCTAACCATTTTAAGTCAATGACCATAGCAATAGTCCATCTTATAACATATATAAAGAATTATTCCAACTTAACAATGACAAAAATGAGCAAAATGTCACTTGAATTAAAAAAAAATCCATAAAGTACTATTCCATTAATATAAGCGGTTGTTTGAATTCTTAAATCAAACAGTTCCAGAAGTTCGATATATAAGATTGTGCAATTTCCGGTGACAAATTGATAAATGTCTCTTGACAATTTTTTTATTTGGATGAATTTCTTGAAACATTGCATGTATGGACATTTTTATCTGGAAAATCATTTTAACCGTAAAGTGCAGTTTCACTTAATGTATTTGAAAGTATATATATAGAAACATTTTTAATCTATGTTACAGGTATTGTATCAGAACACACAATAATTTTGCCAGCTTTCAATGAAGTATTGGTGAACAGCAGTTTGGAATTGGCATGTTATACTAACAAAAACGTTACATTTACACAATGGGGAAGATTAAATCACCTTGACACATTTTCGCACCTGTATCTTTCGGACAATGGAAGCTGTAAAACAGATGGTTTCCTAGCTGACAAACTATATTTTGAAACGAGTTGCTATAGTAACGGCACCTTCAAAATGAACATTAAACGTGTAAATTTAAGTAACCATGGTCAAGAATGGTATTGCTACGGCGATAATAGAAAGAGTAATATTGCTAACATTACTGTTCGAGGTAAGAATGTATCATTTTAGTTTGTTGTATAGCAGTTTACCAGTGATGACGGTCAAGATAAATGTATGAAATTCCATTGAAATTCATTGTCAGGCTAATATCAATAAAAGTCATTTTAATAACTCTCTTTTAAATTTCTCCAATTAAAATATGCGTTATAAATCAAAAGTTAACATACATTTGTAGGACAATAACCAAAGGCTGGTTAGATTGTTTGACTTTTTATACTACGACTGGCTCTTCTATTATGTATTGAACCTGAGATTAAGCTATTTTCTATTTGTATGCTACATGTAATTTTAATAAAAATATCAATTTCGGCGAAAAATCAAAACGGAATTATTGCAAAGTCGGTTTAATTGAGTCTGTAAATGAGGGATATTGAAAAAATGCAAAACCCGTCACAACCCCTAACACCGGCTTGAGCAGTTCTCAATTTACAACACTTAAAAGTGCTGGAATCCAAAACCCCGAAGGACAAGAAAAATAAAACAACACTGCAGTGAAGTATGAGGCAACATTTCACAGCTGTAAAGCCAGGAAACATACACATTTGAAATACGCCTAAAAGATTCATGATCAATCTATTTTTAAAAGGTTTCTAATGTTTGAATTGACAATTTCATAGTACATTGTATATATATTTGCAGTTCCTGCCACGGAAGTTACATTTGACTTTCATTCAAATAATAGCATTTACATGAATGAAAATCAAAATCAAACTTTTAGTTGCAAAACCTCAGCGTGTTTACCAAAACCATTAGTTAAATGGTACTTATTGAATCCCATCAACAATATAACCTACGATATAACAAACCAATCGACAGAATCATATATTCCAAAAGAAAACTGGTTGACTGTAGCTGAAAGTATTCTTCGGATTCTTCCGAACAGAACACTAGAGCACTGGCAGCTATTCTGCGCAGTATGGACAAAAGAGAAAGCAGCAGACATTTTAAGTGATGAATTGGTACTGAGCGTGGCATGTACGTATATGTACTATATATTTCGAAAGTTACATTTTATTTTCCTTTTGTTCATACCAAGATAAAATTAAGTGTTGTTTTTGTCTAACATAAATGGCTTTAAACTTTCAAAACATTTGTAAATGTACTTACTATTAATTCAGATGCAACTTTATGGATTTGTCAAAAAGGACATCTTTGTTTGTTCTCAAATTCGTAAAGTGCCTGCCTTAGCAAAACTAGTAAAATGCAAATATTGTGGTGTGAACTTTAATTCTTAGTATGGCCTATCGACGAAAACGACGCAAACAAGTGTCCCACAAAAAATAATGATTTTTGCTCTATTGCGTTTTTATTATTTAAGATCCACCAGATGGTCCCCCAATGATAGCTGGCTACAGAAACGGCTCTACGATACAGCTTGTCGAGACAGAAGCGCTTAAATTGACCTGTTCTGTAACTGGCGGAAAACCATTAGCGACCTTAAGAATGGCCTGTTTAAACAGCAATTCAACAGTAACTGTTACCAAAGAAACGACGGTGACTGTGTACATTGCACTACAAGTGAATCGCAATCATAATCAATGCATATGCCAGTCTGATCATATCATAAGTGGTACACAAAAAACATACGTCATGCTTGATGTGCTGTGTAAGTGGAATTTCATTAAAATATTTTGATTTTAAAATTTGTCAATAACCATAACTGATTATTCATCTTTCACACCCACGATTTGGCAAATCTTTGTAATTACCTGTAAGATAAAATACTTTACATGTATTTACCTCCTCAGATGCATGTTAAATATTTTGCTGTTAAAGTAATGCTTATGGTAATATTAAGCTGCTTATTTGCACATTTATTTAGTGTGAGCAATGCAGTAATCCAACCGATTAAGTTGAACATTAGATGATCTCGAAACGGAAATAGAACACGACTTCAAGTATTGAAGTGTCGTAAGTTACAAGATAGAGGTACTCCTTTTAGTTATATCTGTATGACACTTCTTTCAGTTCAACCCCGTGAAGTCCGCTTCGGAATGGAGGCAGGAGAAAGTTTGATTGTAAACCAAAATGAAGAGGTGACTTTTCAATGTTTCGCTGAGTCTAATCCTCATCCAGATATTGTTATCAGGAATCAAAGAGATGAACAAATAATAATGATGGAATATGCCACTCATGATGTTCAACATACTATTCCTAAAGTATTTTGTGCTGATGCAGGGGAGTATGTATGCACTGCTAGAAATATGTTAACAAATGGACAAGGAGCACTTTCAAGACTCAGTCTCATTGTAAGATGTAAGTCTTAAAACTCCAATTCTGTCCGCTTTTCATCTTTCATTTGTAAATTTATCAATCTTTCGTGCATGTCATTTCATCTATAGAAACCGTTGATCTGGAATAAGATCTAACATAAAAGATAAAGCTTTGGAAATATTATATCAATTCTCTTTAAGTAACATTGTACTAACTTGTATTAAAACATTTACGGATCATACTTATTTCACATAAAAATAACGAAGCACCAAGTTAAGTTTGCCAGAGACATGTATAAGTTTTAGATGACTCTTGGTGATTAAATATTTCTATATCGTTGATCATGTTTATAGGTCGCCCACGTCCGTCAGCTGATACATTAAAAGAAACAAGGATAACTGCTCTTCTGCATGTTGACGTCACGTTGCAATTTTTAGCTCAAGACTTTTTTGACGAGCAAAACAAAACAGCATTCGCATGGTATAAACAGAAAGTGCCATTACAAAATGACGGCAATAAGTATATTATATCATCTTATGGGTTACAATCTAACTTGATAATCAGAAACATTACATACTCAGATTATGGACAGTACCAAGTTGTTGTCAGGAATTCATTTGGACATAATACCTACTATTATGAATTGCTGGAAAAGGGTAAAAACAATTAATGTTTTTAAAAATTTACAATTATGTATCAATTAACATTTCTTGATAATCTACATTTCCCTAAAAGTAAAACATTTCAAAGTCACAAAGCACCCCGATGCTACAATTTTCATGTTTCAAATGTTTCTGTTTGTTGTTCTGTAACAGTTTCGTAAACAGTACTTAATTATGGACTATATTGGTTAGTTATATCTTGTGTTTGGCCAACTAGCAGTTAGTAATGTTAAAGTGATTTTAATATTTGTAAGGAAACAAAATACCACCTTGCTTACGTTGTTAATATTCATCTCTGCTTTCTCCGCTTGATTTAGCAGTTAACATGTTTTAAATCCATTACGAACACATTATAAAACATATGTTTGCCTTTTGAAAGATAATGAACTTACATACTTACTAAACACCATAATATGTATATAACTTATACTAGTAATTACCTTTTAGATAATATTTTCATTGATGGGTAACTTATTACAGGTGCAAATGTAGTAAATAATAATTTACCAATGTGAGATGGGAAATAACATGATATTGTTTGTAATAAATGAAATTTTATATTTCTTTATTAAATTCAGCTCCTCAACAGTCCACTGAGCCAGTGACAGCCTCGACACTATTTGGGGTCGCAGTTGGTACATCTAGTTTCACATTTTTTGTGGTTGTATTGGCATTCATCTACTGGATATATACCAGGTAATGAAAATGTCACCAAAGAGACAAAATAAATAAAATTAAATAAATAAATAAAACAAGAAAACAAACAACAACAACATCGAAAACAAATCAAATATACTTACATAAACCAACAACAACAACAATTGAAATCCACAAAATAATAAAAAAAACTATCCCTCTACAAAAAAGCAACAACAAATGAAAACACACAAAAAGACACAAAAAGATCCAAACCCCAAATTATATGAAAATAAACCACTGTTTTCATGTCATGGTCCGCATAAAATAATACAACCACAGTCTATTTTACCTCGTTCGAAATGTTGGTAACATTACAAGTTTATCAAATAGTTTTTTCTCTTTTATTTTAAAGAACATGCGATAATAATTATATAAAGAACATGCGGATAAAATATGTACGCAGCTATTTAACAGCTATTTCTATATCACTACTTATCTTTCATTTCAGACGTAAACGCACTTTGAAGATAACAGACAGAAAAACAGCTGGTATGCAGTTTTAACGCATGTTTTAATCCGCACTTCAACTATCAGTCACATAGAAACAGGAAAATATAAACGTTTAGAGATATCATATAAAGATTGCTTAGTAATGATTAAAAGTTACTTAAATAAAAACAATACTAATTTACCATTAACCTAATATCCTCTTGTGAATAAACACGATAAAGTCTTTTAAGCATGTCCTGACATTTTCACTCTATCAGAGCTTTATCTCACATTAAATCTTTATCATTATACAAGTGTATAGTAAGTATAAGTAAGTGTTATTATTCAAATTGTATTCACGTTTGATTACTTTAAAAGTCATTTTGGGAAGTAATATTTGAATGCTACAGTACAGTAAATCTATTTCCTTTTGCTTTTTTAATTGATCTTAAAATGTTTCATTCTAGAGGTTATCAATGAATATCAGGCTACTACTGGGCATAATGACAATGATGCAGAAAATTTGTATGAACAAATTGATGAGCAATGTACTGCAAGAGGGGCATACATTGAGATGCAAGGAATCAAAACGGATAAGGATACAAACTGTGAATATATAGATATGACAATACAGACCAACAACCCGTCGGAAAAAAATTGTGAATAGTAGCCAAAGTCGTTTTGTACAAACCTGAGTTAGTTTGTTTCATGTTGAGTTCATATATCAAGTTTTCACATATTAATTCACATAACCTTTTACTTTTGTGAATTTTCACCAAATTTATTGTACCTGTACATAATACATGTATATTGAGATTCCAACGAATGCTCTGTCCAGATTATACAGTTGACTCAAACCAACTGTTTCTTTTCTCTTATTAAATATTCTTTATTTTGAACTACAAATAACTTAATTATAAGGTTGAATGAAATTGACCTTTATAAGTCTTTTTCATAAGTGGATTTTAGTTCATGGTTTACGTAGGCAATAAACAACTTTCTAATGGTCGCTTATAACTTTAGCGGTAAACATTTTTGTATTTTTCACGTCTAAAGATGTAGTTTATTCTGTATTTGGTTGGCAAGCATATCACATGTTGAGATTCTAATTTGACCTCCTATCCCTCCCTATTTTGTGTGTTATAAGGATATCTAATCGTACAATAATGTATTCATATAGGTTATATAACCTCAATGTTTGAATATTTGCTTGATGATGAATATTACTACTGTAATGATTATTGTGCAGTATATGGATAGACAAAACTTTTTTGATACTGTTTGTCGATGATACAAATTGTCATATTTGTATTTGATATATTATAAATATGATACATGTAATCTCAATTTTACCTAGATTATAGTCTATCAATATCTAAATTTCTCTTGTCTTTTCTTTCAAATGAAAACACACAATTCACATTTGTGAATCACATGGGCCCTCTTGGATAACAATTCAGAAAAATACAAAAGAATGCCATAGCTTCGATGGTGATAACTCTAGTTTTTCCCAGTTTCGAAAATGTCTCTTCAAATGCATTTTATTCTCTATCAATATTTGATAATATATGCTATTATACCTAGTATATCTAATAACACAGGAATGTGCGAGTTCGACTTCCGGAAGATGCAGGTTCCTGTCGTTGTGATTGACCATTGAATCATTTCCAAGGTCTTTCGCGTTGAACCTCTGATCTGGCATAGAAGAACTTTATCAGTCCCTTGCAAAAGTGAAGGCATTTAGTACAAGAAATGCCCAGAAACGATGCCGTGGCGAAACTATGCTACAATCTACAAACATCACCACCAACACAGCAGCAATATGTCATCACTTGCACCTGTAATACGGTGTGTAATACAAGCGATGAAATCTTGAATTATCAATAGAATAATAAATTTAAAGAATTTTGGTCTCAGATATAAGTTTTGTTATTTCCATTTATGTTTTAAACTAAAATCTTGTCAACAACTTGAATGTGTAGGTGGCATTCAATTTTAAAGAATGGGTGTGACAGTATTATTATAATTAAAGTAATTTTATATTTCATCCTATTTTTCATTATCATTTATTGGTCAATCTTCATTATATTACCGAGTCTATCAAAATATACATTAATCTAATTCAGCCAAATTGGACCACATAAAGTCACCTTAATTAAAATACATTAAATATATCAAAATATATAGTACATCCGAATTGTCAGCTTAATATAGATTGAGGTATGTTGTCCAAAATTAGCATCCAACTGCACCTTAACTCATTGAATTTATTGAAATTAGTCTCATGAAACTGAAATGTGATCGTTTAACCACATTTAGTCTGTATTTTGGTTCAAAAGATAAATGATTTGAAATTTACATTTACTTCTCCAAAATGATAAGGTTTAAACAAAAATGTGTATTGTGTGTGTGTATCAGATCTTCAAATTATATTTCTGCTTGACTTTATATTAATAAAATATTGATGAAAACTTTAGTTGCGTTTATAAAAAAGGAACATTGAAGAACGCTCAAAATGCCAAGATTAAAAATGGTGAAGGCTTTGTTTGATTCAGCAAGGTTATGGTATTTTGTGGTAAATGTTAGTTACCAGTTTGCCCCCTAGCACCGCTTTTAGCAGAATTAATATTTCAACATGAAAATATAGAAATTATGAATTAAGAAACATCCACGTTTGTGGGAAGGGCTTAATCAAATGCTGTAAGAACTTGTTGCCAAACCCATTTGCATTTTGATATATACTCATTATTTGTATAATATGTTTGTCAACATCTATTTAAGGCAATAAAATATGTTAAACTAAAGAAGTCCACCGATGAGTTCATGCGGCAGTTCTCGCAGTTGAAATACTTGTATATACATTCCTATATACAAAATCACCAAACATGAAACGATTATTTTACCCTAGAAAGAGCAGAAACAGTTAAATGAATGTTATTGAAACGAGATGTTTTGCTTGCAAGTTTCTATTATTTCTATATTGGACAAGTAAGCAACAGATTGCCAGAACAAGGAGTGCAGGACAGCTATGATCTCTTAATGCACCATTATTCATTAAGACAACATTAATTTTGCAAATATGCTGCCTTTTATAACAAGGCAGAATATTGTTTGTTTGAACAAAGTCTTTCTATAGCTTTATAAAATTATCTGTCTGAACAGGAGGTAGGATTTAGATGTACAATATTAAAACAGATTAAATGTACATTTTTCAAAGCAAAACAGCACGCGCATTCAAACCGTATCAACATATTTACCTCCAAAACATTTCCTCTAAAAAGATGCCTTGAAGAATTGAGACAAAATTATAACTGGAATATCTGTATTTGTTTTAATTGTTGGTATTGACCAATTTAGGACATTGTTTAAGAGGAAAAAAATTGATTCGGATTTCGATATCAAGGAGGTGGCAAAATTATCCTGTACTTCTGAAATATACCGATTTAACTAAGACTGTTTAGGTCTTACTGTGTAAAGAATTGTTTTTATATTAAGAGAAAATGATCACAGCAAGGAATTTCCTCCTTTAAAAAAAAATCTTAGTGTGTGTATTTGTGATTCGAACATCCAACCAATCAGGGTACCCATTTTTTTAATAGCCTCTTTTCTCCACCTTACGATTCAATTTACAGTTTATCCCTAATAGTTTTAAAATTCACTTGTCATCTTTGGAGGTCTGTACAACAAGAATTTCATAACAGAACAGTTCCAGTCCTGTGAATCAAGAATTAATCCAATAAATAGTGAGTTTCAGATATTAATATTTGATTTTACATCTTAATTTTCGTTGTGTTTTTTTTCTTACTATATGGCAATGGCATGTTGTATAATATGATGTGGCGAGTATTGTTACTTTGTTTGGGGAGCTAGTTTCAACAACAACAGAAATCCACAAAAAAAATACAAAAAGCATCCCTCTACAAAAAAGCAACAACAAATTAAAACACACAAAAAGACACAAAAAGATCACAACCCCAAATTATATGAAAATAAACCACTGTTTCATGTCTTGGTCCACATAAAATAATACAACCACAGTCTATTTTACCTCGTTCGAAATATTGGAAACATTCCAAGTTTATCAAATAGATTTTTTTATCACACACCCGTGCCGATTTTGCGACTCCTTAAATATGGTATTGCACGGTCGTGCATATATTTTGACGTGACGTCATTAGCGTTATACAAACATAGTGTAAAGACGCGCTAAATGTTCGCGATATACTATAGGCGCGTCAATGAAAAATAACTCTTATTTCACTTAAAATGGTCTTTATTTTGGGCATGTGATAAATAGAATATTAAATTCGTGTAAGTTCATTATTGAATTTATTGCACTCGTTGAATAAAATAATATTATGCTCGCCAGAGGCTCGCATAATATAATTTTATTCAACTCGTGCAATAAATTCAGTATTGAACTTACACTCATTCAATATCCTCTATCTCTTTTATATTAATGAACATGATAATTATATAAAGAACATGCAGATAAAATATGTATGCAGCTATTTAACAGCTATTTCTATATCACTATTTATCTAAAGTTCTGTTTTATAATTAATTACTTTCTAAAAAATACCCTTGCCAAGTTTCATCTACAAATTATTTAAAGTCAGTCGGTTTTGCAGCTACTTATATCAAAACCAGTATTGTGACATACATATTGCCATGTTAACATTTAATGTATTTTTGCTCACTACATGTATTCGTTATAAAGTGTAAAGTGATTTTCAAATGCGCACATTTTCTTACTATTTTGACAATGGAATATTGTATAATATGATGTGGCGAGCATTGTTACTTTGTTTGGGGAGCTAGTTTCATTAATTTATATTTAAGGCTTATTGAAAAAGATCTGTCTCTTTTGCGTGCACATATAGTATATTTCAACTGACAATAAGTAGCCATGCCTGTTTGTAACATAATGAGAAAAATATTTGTTCAACATAAATTATAATGATATATGATATTGATTAAAAAAAGGTTTTATAAAGTGGATTTGTTTTTACCTTTTTGCCGATTCCTGCCAATTCCTGCTATGTTTTACAGTGTAACCTAATAACTAGTCTATTAGTATATGAAGCGGTTGTTTGAATCTACATTATAGCATAAAATCGGCTATTTCCCTCTATTGCCCATGTTATAACGGGACCAAAACCATGTGTTAACATAATCACGCGCTCTTGTTATAGCCCGGTTTTACCTATGCATAATACATACAATGCCCAGTAAACAAATTAACAAAAAACTGTTTGCCAAAGGGTCTTGCGTTCTTATTATATAGAAATTATTTATTCGAGGGCCTCAATCGTATAACGGCGAGCAGCATTCAAGTAACTATTCCGGAAAAACGGCGTGTAGACATCGCCGCTTATCTTGGTTGTCGCCCTTTCTAAGAAACGGACAGTTGTCAATGTAAACAAATATCTGTCATTGAATGTAAAGCTTTGTTAAATTAATCAAAATTCGAAATTTCGCACAGTTCTGAGCATTTGTATTTCCCAACATGTTGGTCCCGGAAAAATAAAACGCAATCGTAAAACATGTAGAATTGAATAAATACCGTCCAAGCGCATGGATTTAATGTATTTGTTTTGTATGAATGGACATCATGAATCTGTTTTAAAATTTTATGCTATAATAGCGTCAACGCACGTTTATTTTGTGTTATAACGTCTGCAGAGTCCCGTGGAACTGTTGGTGCCCTCGCCCTACCGGGCTCGGGCACCAACCGTTCCTCGGGACTCTGCAGACGTTACAACACGGAAAAACGTGCGTTAATCCTATAGTATGCATGTACATTTGATTTAATGATTTAAATTTGGTAAAGACCTGTTTAGAGCAAAGCATAACTTAAATTGATGAATAACTTCATTTGAAATTTAATCAAAATATTAAATTTTAACACCTACTTCTATTAATTCAATTTACCGACACTAACTATTTAAAAATTTTGTTTGAAATAAATAATACTATCGCCATTTAACATTGATCTTTTAACTCATTTTTTTAGCTCAATCCTCATGTATATATGAGAAATTTGTCTGAAATGGTGGATACCAACAGGGAAAAGCAAATTTTGATATTCAAGTTAATATTGAGGAACTTTCATTTAAACATTATTTTAGCATAAAATAAAAAAGAAAATTAGTTTGTTTGCTGTGTAATATGTATACAATTTGTATGAACAATGTCTCCAAAGCTCACTCGTTGAAATGAAATTTCTTCATACACGTGAACAAACTCATATCATCTTTATATTTGTCTTATCTTCTATCAA